CCTCCAGAACTGTAGAATAAACGTTTTGTTCTAAGCCACAAGTTTGTGGTAATTTGTTCCAGTGGCAACAGGGGATGTAATACTAGAGAGTAGGGAATTAATTTCACGAAACTGAGCATTTTGGCCCTTGGAGGACCTCCTTGGAAAAGAAGGGTAGTTTTCTCATCTCGGACCTGACGCCCTCAATGGATCACTCAGGAGTTCATCTCAGGATGCATGTGCTGAACGTCAAGGGGAACCCATCAGGCTCTCTGGACTGTCCTGAAGGCTTTTATAGAAGGGAAAGCTGAAAAACAAAACAGTCTGGGTCAGACGAACAAGCTTGAGATAAGGAATGGCAGCTTAGCTTTCTTTCAGAGAACTGCCTGGGGTGGAGGGTTCTAAGAACCCATCTGGGTTTGGAGAGAAAGATGCTGTGATCAGTGCCAGGTCAGCAGGGAATGTCTGACACCAGGAACTGACAGGTTAGTGACAGTTCATGTACCACATGTTACCAATTCTGCTCTACATGGCACCACTGGGAGCTACAGGAAGGTGGCTTCTGCCCAGACACGAAAAGACTTGTAGAAACACAACTGTGCCAGGAGACAGCTTTATACCTCAGACACTACCCCTCTGTTGAGTAGACATCGTAGAGTTTCTTACTAAGGTGGAACATGCAAACAATTTCATTCCACCCCCGAACCCTCAGCAAGGTGACTGACTAGGGCAAATGTCCAATGTAAGAACTACAGGCTTATCTTCCCGGTGTTATTGCTATGTTCACCAGTGGACCCAGCTAGTCAGAAATATTTAGTGGGGAAATGACAGAGCAGTGGTTCTCAGCCAGAGGAGATTGTGCCCCCTAGGGGACCAGTGGCAATGTCTGGAGACAGTCTTGGTTATTACCACTGGAGGGGAGGGGATAGTATTGGCATCTAGTGGGTAGAAGCCAGGAATGATGTTAAACATCCTATAATACACAGAAAGCCCACACAAAGAAGAATTACCCATCCCAAAATGTCTGTAGTGCTGGGGCTAGAAACCCCGAGCTAGAGGCGAAGAAAATAGAGTTATGAACAAGGAAATATTTTAGGCAATTAAGGAATATTGAGGAAAAGTACGCCATGCTCACTTGTTTGGAAAGGGGGTGATGAGTAGCACTCTGAGTTCTGGCCAATTCAAGGGTGGTCTGTCTGGGGGGGAGGGGGCGCAGACTGCTGTGTATGCGGGCAGCCTGCTTGGCTGATGCGCTGTAAGGAGAGCAAACTTGGCCTGTGTTACCATCGAAGCCAACGACTCTGCACCTCCGAAGTCACAACTCATGGACGAGGAAAGTGCCAAAGCAGTGATAAGATAAGGATCACAGAATCAGAGCAATTACAAACAGAAGCAATGAAAATCTATTTTAACATAATAATGAACTCAAGTATGAGGTGGTTTTCCTGACAGCGGGAGCCTCTCCTCTCAGCATCCTCCTCCTCATGAGAGAACTCTTGCAAAGCTGTGTCCATACTGGCTGTGGAGAATGTGGTAAGGGTCTCAGGAGAGCCCCTGAGATGACAATACGAATGGGCAGAGTTAGGCTTGAATATGAGCTCAAAAGGAACAGGAGGGCTGCCGCACTGCACGGCCTGGACGCCAGCACTGCCTAACAGAAGATGAAGACACCCCGTTCTGAGGCCGGGCTCCTGGCACCACAGCCTGTACACTGGGAAGAAACTGGTGCAGAAAGGCATTTCTCCCTGGGTCCACCACCTCAGAACCACGTTCGGCAGGAAAGGGACGAACCAGCACTTAGGTTCATTTTTATCATTAAGCCATAATTCCATACACGGGAGCTGAGTCACCCTAGGTCTGCCCAACACCAAATCCACTCCAGCCCGTCTCATGGCCTCGTCACAGGCAGGAAGAGCTGCAGAGACAGGGCAAGGACAGGAGGTGCTGAAACCAAGTAGCCAGGGCAATAGGGCCACAGAAGGAGCTGCCCTGCTAACACTAGTCCTAGCCAAGCCTCCTCTATTTCTCAAGAAGTTCCTCCAATTCCATCCTCCTTCAAATTCTTTTTGTCCTTTTCCCCTCTTGACCTCCTTCTCCCTGCCCACCTATTCTTCTCACTTCCTAAACAGTGTCAGTGGTTACATGAAGGTCAATATTTTCTACTTTTTCAAAATAAATGATGATGATTGCTTCAGGGTTTTTCTTCAGAACAAATAAATCTTTCGCCTTTTACAAAATAAATGATGAGTAACTTTTTAATGTGCCTTGACAAAAAAACCTAACTTTAGTTGCCTCAACTTTTTTTAAAATCCTCACCCGAGGATGTTTTTATTGATTTTTAGATAGAGAGGGGGTGAGACAGAGAAACACTGATGTGAGAAACATCAATCGGTTGCCTCCCATACATACCCCGAACCCACAACCTGGGTATGTGCCCTGACTGGTACCACCTTTTGGTATACAGGATGACACTCCAACCAACTGAGCCACAGCAGCCAGAGCTAGTTGCCTCAATTTTTGTGAACCCTTAAATCTCTTTCTTGTATCAGCATTTCCAAGTAATGGGGTGGGGGTGCTACTCCACTCATGCTCTGGGTACTTAATCTGTATGGCAAATAGATCAAAATCAGTAATTTTAACAGTAACCAGAGAAACTCAAATTTAATATGAGGAAGAATTTCCTAACATTTCAATGACTGCAGTAGTCTCCTACCTAACCTCTTTACCTCCATTTTTTTCCATTCAATCACCTTTTTGCAATATTAACACAATCACTCCTTGTTCAAAACTACCAATGGATGCCCAGCCAGGTGGTTCAGTTGGTGGGAACATTGTCCCATACACCAGAAAGATTGCGAGTTCGATTCCCAGTCAGGGCACGTAACTAGGTTGCAGATTTAATCCTGGTTGGGGCATGTACAGGAGGCAACTGATTGATGTTTCTCTCTCTCTCTCCCCCTCTTCTTCTCACTCTAAAATCAATAAACATATCCTTCATAAGGATTTATAAAACAAACAAACAACAAAAAAACCCCACTAATGGCTACAACTGCTCAAAGAATATAAAGTGCAAATTCCTTCACCTGGCATTCAACAGCTTCTATCAACCTAGAAATTTCCCAACAATGGTTTCCAGGAATGGAAATCATAAAAAGCACTTTTCTCCTAGAAGTATTCAGATACAGGCCAGGTTACCTCACATAAGAGATGCTGGTCTCCAAGGAGGCCTCTCTCCCTGCCAATAAACCATGCCTCTTGGCATTCACACCCTTATGTAGTTCCCTCCTTGAATCTAAACTGATCCTACGACCAAGAAAATACAGGGTTAAGTAACACTGTGTGACTTCTAAAGCCAGGTCATAAGAGACCTTGCCATTTATGCCTGGATCTCTCAGTACACACTCTTGGGATGTTTCTGCTCAGAATCCAGCTGTTATGCTGAGAGAAGCCCAAGGCACATGGAGAGGCCACATGCATGCACTCTAGTGAACAGCCAGCATCAAGAGCCAGCCATGTGAGTGAGCAAGTGTGGATGTCCAGCCCAGCTGAGCCTTTATATGACTCAGTAAGTATCCTTGGACAGCAGCATGTTCTTAGTACCCATCAGCTCTTTAATGTCTTATTTTTGTGCATGGGCCTTCTCTCCCCAACTAGGTTCCACACACCTGGGGCATGAGACCAGTGTGAAACACCTGTCACAGCGCCTGGCCCACAAAAATGCCTCAGACAGGAAAGACTAAGATGGCAACACTACAGCTGTTTTAGATTAACACTGAAACATCTGATAAAAGCTATTGCCTCACCTTTGCCAGGGGACACTAAAAAGGAAAACTTCTAGCTGGGACTGGGAGCCCAGCTCAGGGATGAACTGGACAACTGACCCCTGGACATGCACACTGCTGCCACTATGCCTAGCTGCCGAAACAAATGATGAAGCAAATTAACTAAACCTAGTACCTCTTCCTGCTCAGGGGAACCTCTATTTCAACCCCTCTCAGGGAATCTCAGAAGCCTCCCCAACCCCCCTTCTTCCTCCTTCACCTCTCCTTCAGAGGAAAGGACTTGGTATGGGCTTGAGAACAGAAGGGGTCCCTGCCTGAGGCCTTCCTGCAAGATCCACAAACAACCTGACCCCCACAGACAGACAGAAACATGGGCTCAGCACCCTATTTGGCAACAGGAAAACCTGCAGGGTGTTAAAGGCAGAGAAAGGGAAGTGAAGACCATAAACAGCTACTGGAACCACTGAAACTCAGAGATTAAAATGAATCAGACAGGAGCCCCATGTTTCCCCTGGCCCCCAGCAGGGACCCCACCACAGCCCAGCCTCCCAAATAGTTAAGACAATGAACAGTGAATTCCCTGAAGCTCCCCTTCTGAGAGTTTATAAAACCTGCCAGGCATCCTGAGAACAGGAAAACAGTAATGGGAAGCCCAGAGCATTGTTCACTCCCCTGGCAGAGATGGAAGACACAATTCTAACCATTATGCCCAGCTCTCACATACACCAGCAAACTGTCGACCCATGAGACAGGGATTGATTCTGTTTTTTCCTATCATTTCCCAAGTGCTAGTACTACTGCGCCTGGCAAAGAGTAGACACTCAAAAATGTTTGTTGCATAAATGAAAGAGAATGATGAACACCATCTTTGTCGCATGGCACCCACACGAGCAGAGAAGAAAGTGTGTACATTTATTCATTCAACAAACATTTATTTAACATTTTCTATGCCAGGCACTGTCCTAGACACAATAGGAAAGAAAATAAATCCCTGCCCTTGTGGAGTTTATGTTTTAGTGGGTGTAAAGGTGAAAATCTCAATAGTCCCCAAAAAACTATGCAAGAAATTTTTTTAGTAAGTGCCTGTTATGTTCAAGTGATGAGTACAGATGCTATGACAGGCACCTGGGATCTAGGACTCAGCCCCAGTGAAATTATTTCATCTTCTAGGCCAAGACCCCAAATCTGGGATGTGTGTGTCCGCTGTTAGAGTCCCCTGGGTAAGGAAAATGTGATTACCTCTTTGGTGCATCTATCCTCATCTGTCGGTGAGCAGAAGCCACTGCGTGAGTACCACGTACATGCCCAAAACACCACGTAACACTGCAGGATAGAAAGAAAGCCAACATCTTTAGCTGAGAGGTGCTGGGGTCAGAAAAGCAGCTCTAATATGTTATAATTAAACACTAGGGCTCAGAGTGCTCCTAAGGCAAATTGGCTCCTCCTCTGTCCCTCATACACACACCCTGAGATGTTGTTATTCTGAGCCTGAGTCAGCAAATAATTCCCAAAGCTGGAAATAGTCTGCTCATTTCCAAGTAAGAAGACACCAGCTCTGCTGATTGTACCAGGATGGGTGGGGCAGAAGGAGCTGGCAAGGTGAAGGAGGAGCTAGAACCCAACAACCCCAAAGGATAGTAGCTCATAAATGGAGATGCCCTGAGTCATGCTTAATTCCTTGACCAAAAGCCCTGTGGAGACAGGACTGGAGTCACACCCCAATCACCAGCCTCTGAGCTATGAAGGCCAGAAACCATCTACTAAGCAAGAAGACCCACGTGTCTGAAACCTGATGCAAGGGGACATTTTCTCCCTGCCAGACTCAAGTAAGTGCCCAGCTCCCCTTTGACACTGTGGAACTCAGCTGCTGCAAGTAGCTCCTCCCTCTGGATCCAAAGGCACAGAAAAATGCTCAGGGACATCAAATCATCTACAAGAAGCAGCCACTGGGCAATCTGGGACAACATGGCACAGACAACGACACCACACACAGAACTGACACGACAGACGAAGTCCATAGAGATGCTGTGTAGGGAGGAAGAAGAGAGTGCTCCCAAAGTGGCTAATGCTGGGCAGTGGGGCAGCTCCTAGCATTTCCAGGAGGGCTCCACAATTTAGCTTCCCAGATGGCAGGAAACACCCTGAGAGGGGGTATCAGTAACAGGATATAGCTGAAGCCTTTAGAAGCGACAGGTCCAACTCCTCCTCAGAGAGAGGAACTGCACAGGCCCAGGGCAAACCAGCATCCCCAGGCCCTGAAGACAGCTTGCATGGCAGCCAGGACAGCTGCAGTCTACCCAAAGCAGGGGCCTACTAGCTTCCCAGGCCAGCATTCAACACTGGCTGTCCTCTCACCAGGTCCTGGGGAAAGGGGTTTGAGGGACCACAGGTGGAGTTGGCAGGCTGAGTAAGGGCAATTCTCTCTGCGAGGGCTGAGGCACGGACCAAAGGATGAAAGCAGTAGTGGAGAGGCAGAGGGAAAGGCAGCCAAGCAAAACAGTGGTTTAGTAACCTTAGTTCATTCAACTAGAAGTGATGGGCTGTACCATCTGTAGCATGTCAGAGGCCTGTCTGCTCACACCTTTGAAAAAGAATAGTAGGCTCGCCCTGGCCAGTTTGGCTCAGCAGTTAGAGCGTTGGCCTACGGTCCAGAGAGACCCAGGTTCGGTTCCCACTAAGGGCAAGTACCTCGGTCGCAGTTTGTCCCTGGCCCTGGTTGGGTTGTGCGGGTGGCAGCCACTCGATGTGTCCCTTTCACATCGATGTTTCTCTCTCTCTTTCTCTTTCTCTCTCTCCCTCCCACTCTATCTGAACAAAAAATGGAAAACTGTCCTCAGGTGAGGATTTAAAAAAAAAGAAAGCAGGCTGACCCTAGCTCTGTAAAAATCACTAAATGGAAACTTGGTGACTGACAATCATGACTACCCACATAGAATATGAGAGAGTGGACAAACTGCAAGAAGCCACCCGGCCAAGGCTGCTAGTGCCCAAGATACTCCACAAGGACTGGGCCTGACCTCTTCTCACGCCCTTCTCACCTACCACCTCAGGGGAGAGTACAGGTGAGCAAAGACAGGAGTAGCAAACTGCTCAAGAGTCAGGTAAAATCCTCGGGAGTCAGAGATTAGACTAAATTACTACCAAACCCATAACCTCAAATTCATTAGAATGACCCATTAAAACCCCAAAGGGGTGTATTTCATAGGAACAAGGGACCCTTTTTGGTCCATTCTGCCCAAATTCCCTCCAAGTACTGCTTAGGGGTCAGTGGAAAGGGGACTGGTCTGCCATCCACTATCCTATTTCTGTCATAGAAAAGTACAGTGCACAAGAGGATTCCAAAACTTAAAGTCTGGTCTAGCTGGTTCAGTGGGCTGTCCACCAAAGCTCCTAAAAGTTGTTAATTCTGTGTCCAATTCTGGCTCAAAGACAGAGAGCACGATCCTCAAAAGAGAAGACCTAGAAACCCAGAGCCAGGTGAAACAACAGGCCTTCATTTCCAAACGTGAGAGTGGGTCATGCTTTCTGAACCCTCCAAGACTAGAGCGGGCAGAAACAGAGGATATGTTATTTCCTGACGATCTCTCTAGGCCTTTAGAGTGCAAACTGAAGACATCTGAAAAGAACTTTCTGCCTGGCAAGAAGGTTAAATACCCAGACACACAACAAAGGTGGTGGGCTGTCTAGCCCCAGACAGAATAACCTCTGTGACTAGAAGCAACTTAGGTTCTTGACGCAGTCTAACTAATGCAGCCCCAGACTGCCCAGGCAGACAGTGACCTGACACTGATGTAAGGCCTGGGCAAAGGGAACAGAACTTCGGTGTCAACCTCCCTCTTGGATCCACAGGAAATTAAGCTCCCAAGGAAAATGAAGGGAGAACCTTCAAAGAACCTGCTCAGTGAGTGACCAAACTCAGAGGCCCTGACACATTCAGCGGATCAGACATACACGAGGGAAAATCAGCAGCTGGTTCAAGCCACCAAGGATAAAAGGGACAGATGTCTGCCAGCCCTGGAGCTATCGGGCGACAATCTATTTAAAACCCGAACAGGAAAAAAGTTGTCTGGAGTCAGTACAGAGGGAAAAGATTGAGAACCACAGGCATTCTCGGGGCATATCTCCTGAAGACTTCCCTTGGCTCTTTGGGATGCGGCATAGGGTAGAGGGTGGGAGTCAGGGCAGAGACAGGCTGGGGTATCATGGTTTAAATGTATTTAATACATCCCGAGTGGAGAGACGCACAACCCTGTTTCCTGGAAGGGGAAGAGTTGGATGAGGCCTCCAGCTATGCCTGGCACACACCCAGCTCAGCAGCCAGTCTCTTCCCGAGGGTTCCTGGAAGTCAACAGACTCATAAAGAAGAAGTATTAAAGCTGAGATGGGAAGAATGGTCTACAAATTGAACATCATCCCTGATGCAACACCCCAGTAAATTCCCCCACACAGATGTGACCTGTGATTTACCTCAGACATTCAGCTCCTTACTTCAGCCCGGGCCGAACACCCTCACCCCACCGATACCTAACTGCCCGTCAAGGGGAAAGCACAGAAGCTAATGCTGTCCCTGAAGCAGAGGCAAGGCACTGGGAGCGAAGGGGAGGCAGGTGACAGGGCCAGCAGGGGAATCAGAGGGGCAGGACCTGGGCCTCTGGGAGGAGCCAGGACAGGAGGCAAACAGGGCAAGCAGGCGCGGGGTTGGAAAAGCCGGGTAACGCCGCGAGGACGAGGATGGGGAGCCCTAGCACTGAGAGGGGCCAGGCAACCGGCGAGGGAGGGGACAGGGATGGGAAAAGAGAGCAAAGACTGAGAGGGCGAGGATGGAAGGGCGAAGGCAGGAGACAAGGATAAGGAGGAGACAGAGAAGATCCCAAGGAGACCCTGGGTGGAGGGCAATGGATCTGGGAACACCAGCGAGGAGAAGGGGGAGGTCAGCGGCAAGGGTGGAGAGTGGGCGAGCACCCCGAGCCTGAGACCGGGCTCTCCGAACACAGAAGTGAGAGGAGACGGAGCCACGAGGCCCAAGTGGGGTCACAGAGTCGGTGGGGAGGCCTGCAGCTCGGGCTCGAACAGCAGTGAAGGGCCAAAGGGCTGGGGGCACAGGGGCGGGGGGCGCCGGCCGCGGACCGGCCCGGGTCGCGGCGTCGGGCAGCGCCTCGGTCCGCCGACCCCGCTGCTCTCCCGCCCCACTCCCGTGCGGGCCTTGCGCCCCGACCCCGCTGGCCGCCTCAGCGCGGGCCCGCCGCTAACCTCCGCTGCTGGATGACCCGCTTCCCCCGACCCGGACTGACCTGTCCCGGCCGCCGCTCGCGCCACCGCCGCGGTCCCGCAGGCTCCGCAGGATCCTCCGGCTCCTGCCAAAACTTTTCCCATTAATCCCCAGCTCCGCGGCGGCCGCCGCGTCATACGCAGCGCGGCCCGCCCCGCCCCCGGTAGCGTGACGTCACCGCGCAGCTCGGCTTCACCCTTCTTCCCACGCCCCTTTCCGCCCCAGCCGCGACCAGTCACCGCGCCTCCTGGAGACGCCTCTCCTGCCGCTCGGCCCGCCGCATGCGGTGCTGGGCCCGCCTGCAGCGCCCTCTGGTGTGGAGTGCGGGCGCAGCAGCTGAAGGAGGAGCGGGGAGGGAGCTCCAGGCCAATAAAACAAGTCTGACAGGTATCACAAAAGGGAATTTAAAGCTGGAAGGGAACTAGAGGGTCTTCTAGTAGAGCCACCTCATTCTTGAGTGAAGAGAAGGTGCGCGACTTGCTGAAGGAAGCAACAGAACCCGAATCTTCAGACTGCAGACCACTGGAGGAGATCGTGCTGCTTGTAATGTTAATAAAAGGACTTTCCTCCCTCGAGAGGCTTCTGAAACTAGGACTTTATGGTTCTGGACTTACCTATCGAATACACTTGCCCACATAAATGGGGAGCATCCTCCCTATCGAAGAAAATCCCGTTCGTGCTTCTTAACCCAGGTCTTTAGGACCTGTAAGGGACCTGTTATCCCAGCCTGTCCTTTCAGATACACCATGAAAAGGTACCTCGCACTGGGAGGCAGTCTGGTGAAGACCCTGGGTTTGTCATCCTGACTCACCGGTCGTTATATGATGAATGGATAACTTTCTCCTCTCCACCATCTTTAAGGTAAAGATTACCTCTCCCCTCTCACATACACTCCTCGGGCCACACCCTCAGGTATGTGGATGGCAAAACCATTGAGTGATTTAATTTTTTTTTTTTCCTTTTTTGATTTTAGAGAGGGAGGAAGGGAGAGGGAGAGAGAGATAGAAACATCAATGACGCCCTGGCAGGTTTGGCTCAGTGGTTAGAGCGTCGGCCTGCAGTCCGGAGAGACCCGGGTTTGATCCCCGCTAAGGGCAGGTACCTTAGTTGCAGTTTGTCCCCGGCCCTGGTTGGGTTGTGCGGGTGGCAACCACTCGATGTGTCCCTTCGATGTGTCCCTTTCACGTCGATGTTTCTCTCTCTCTCTCCCTCCCACTCTATCTGAACAAAATATGGAAAAATCTCCTCAGGTGAGGATTAAAAAGAAACAAAAGAAGAAAGAAACATCGATTGGCTGCCTCCTGCATGCCCCCCACTGGGGATTTGGCCCACAACCTGGGCAAGTGCCCTGACCAGGAATCAAACCGGCAACCTCTTAGTGCATGGGTCCATGCTCAACCACTGAGCCACACCAGGTGGGCACAACAGGCATTCTTTAAAGTCCTTTCCCATCTCCAACTGAGATCTTCTTCTTCTTCTTCTTCTTCTTCTTCTTCTTCTTCTTTTTAGTCCTCACCTGAGGATATTTTTCTCCATTTATCTTCAGGTAGAGCGGAAGAGAGGGAGAGAGAGAGACAGAGAGACCTATCAACTGGCCGTCCCCCACACAACCTGGACCAAGGCCCGAACTGCAACCAAGGTACATGCCCTTGACCAGAATCAAACCTGCAACTTTTTGGTCCGAGGGCCAACAACACTCTAGCCACTGAGCCAAACCAGCCAGGGCTCACTTGATTGATCTTCCTTCCTTCCTTCCTCCTTTCTTTTTTCCTTCCTTTCCTCCCTCCCTTCCTTTCATTTTAATTGTTTTTTCTTTATTGATTTCTTAGAGAGAGAGGAAGGGAGAGGGAGAGAGAGATAGAAACATGATTAGAGAGAACATCGATTGGCCACTTCCTATATGCCCCCTACCAGGGATCCGGCCCACAACCTGGGCATGTGCCCTGACTGGGAATTGAACCGGTGACCTCTTGGTGCATGGGTGGATGCTCAACCACTGAGCCATACCAGCCGGGCTTTTCTTTCTTTCTTTCTTTTTTAAAGAAAGACTTTTATCCTTGCCTGTGTGGCTCAGTTGGTTGAGCGTGGTCCCATGCACCAAGAGGTGGCAGATTTGATTCCCAGTCAGGGCACATGTGGCATTGCAGGAGGTGGTTGATAGGTATTTCTCTCTCACACTGGTGTTTCTCTGTCTTTCTCCTTCTCCCTTCCTTTCTCTCTCTCTCAAATCAATAAAAACATATTTTTAAAACCTCTTTTAAAAAAATTTTTTTAAGGAAGGCTTTTATTGTTTAAAAATATACTTAAGTTGTTTTGTTTGTTTGTTAATCCTCACCCACGGATATTTTTCCATTGAATTTTAGAGACAGCGGAAGGGAGGGAGGGAGGGAGGAAGGGAGAAAGAGAGAAAGAGAGAGAGGGAGAGAGAGAGATACTGATGTGAGAGAGACACATCAGCTGGTTACTTCCCACACTACCAGGGCCAGGGATGAAACTGCAACCCAGGTACATGTCCTTAACCTGAACTGAACCCACAAACCTTCTGTCCAAGTGCTGTCGCTCTAACTGCTGAGATAAACTGGCCAGGGCACTTCAGGTTTTGGTAAACTGTTGTGAATATTCTGAGATTCTGCACAAATAATTCTGTGGCTTTAAGAATTCGTGCATTTGACCCTGGCTGGTCTGGCTCAGTTGATTGGAGCATTATCTGGTATACCAAAAGGTGGCAGGTTTGATTCCCAGTCAGGCCACATACCCAGGCTGTGAGTTCAATCAGGGGGCATGCAGGAGGTAACTGATCGATGTTTCTCCCTTCCTCTCTCTAAAATAAATTTTAAAAAAAGAATCTACATTTATGGCATTTCTCTATAATACATATACCTTCTTCCTTTTAAGTAAGTATAGGTAAGGCTTATCAAAAAGTCTTGGCCTTTTCCCAAATCACCACCTCTTTTCCCTGCCCTGCTATTCTTTCCTTTATCCTACTTTCTCCAGAGAAAAAACAAATTCCTCTGGCTTTCCAGGCAGAAAGAGACATCTTAGCTGTATTTCTTTATTACTAGGTTTCCTGTCAACACTCATGCCCTGAAGATCTCCCTTTCCAGCCCCAGCAGACTTATTTCCCCTAAAAAAAGACAGCTCTTTCCCTAAAAGAAATTCTGGGAGCACTGTTGAGATGCTACATTTTTATCTCATTTCACTTTTATCTTTAAAAGGATAGATATAATATTTAATATACTAAATATATATCTAACAAATATATATTTAATGTTTAGACCCCATCATTCCATTGCTTATTGCAATATTTATTTAAACATTTTTTTGCCATTCTGAATTTTTTATTGTTGAAAGTATTACAGATGTCTCCTTTTTTCCCCACTAACCCTCTCCTCCCTGCTCCCACCCCCCCCTCCTGCTTTTCCCAACTTAATGTCTGTGCCCATTGGTTGTGCTTTTTAACAATTTTTTAAAATATGTTTTTTTGTTGCGGTATTGTTTAGAACAACAACAAAAGCTAGAGATAACCTCATTGTCCAACAACAGAGACATGTTTAAGTAAATTATGCTATATGCTCCTGATAGAATATTATGCCGCCATTAAAAATGATGCCAGCTTGGCCAATATGACAGAGTTGGTTGAGCGTTGTTCCATGCACCAAAAGGTCACTGGTTCAATTCCGGTCAGGGCACATGCTTGGGTTTCGGGATGATCCCCAGTATAGGGTGTGCAGGAGGCAGCCAATTGGTGTTTCTTTCTCACATCCATGTCTCCCTCTCTCTTTCTCTCTCAAATCAATAAAAATATTTTTTAAAATATGGATACCAAAAAACAAAAACAAAAAAACATCTCTTGCCCTGGCTGGTGTGACTCAGTTGGTTGAGAGTCATCCCACACGCTGAAAGGTCGCCATTCGGACTCCCGGTCAGAACACACACCCATGTCGTGGGCTCATCGGGCCGATTAATGTTTCTCTCTCTCTTCCTTTCTTTTTTTTTAATTATTTTTTCTTCATTGATTTTAGAGAGAGGAAAGGAGAGAGACAGTGAGAAACATCAATGAAAGAGAACATCGACTGGCAGCCTCGATGTTTTTTGGAAAACAAAAAATTAGCATAGAAAAAACTGAAAGGAAGCACACTAAAATGTTACCAGCAGTTGTCTTTGGGTTGTGGTTCTGTGAGTTTTTGTATTTCTTTATTTTTATTCTGAGCATTTTTTTCATAATGGAAACATGAATTGATTTTTAGGAACAAAAAGAAAAATCTTCCTTGTATTGAGGAAAAATGTGTATTCTCTGGTTATCCTACTTAGTAGTCTTAGTTCTAGCCCTTGAAGGTACACAGAGTCAAACTGTTTTCCATATAAGAGCCCTTTTGATGTTTGATCCCATTCCCCTGTATTTTTTCTTCTTTAAGCTCAACATCTCTTGTTCCTCATATAAAATGATCATGGTGCCTTTTGCCACCCAGATTGCTGGCCTCAGAATGTGCCATTATATGTATATTCATTCTCTTCAAGGCTTTCCTTAGTTTGGGCCTCCTAACTTCTGAATCACCTTCCCATACTTAGGAAATCTCCCACTTCGGAAACTGAAAATGTCAGGCATTAGCTTCCAGCCTCCTTTGCAGCTGGGGCATAGCCACATTACCGAGGCTCCACCAATCAGAAGCACTGGAAGCTGGGAAGATAAAGAAGTGGGGAGTACAGCCCTGGCCAGTTTGGCTCAGCAGTTAGAGTGTTGGCCTGTGGTCTGGGGTCGATTCCCAGTCAAGGGTACATTCCTGGGTTGCAGGTTGGATCCCCAGCTGGTGCAGCACCTGCAGGAGGCAACCAATCAATGTGTCTCTCTCACATCAATGTTTCTCTCTCTCCCTCTCCCCTCCCTTCCACTCTATCTAAAAAAGTCAATGGGAATGCGACTCCATCTCGGCTGCTGCTACAGCTTCTTCTTTTTTTTTTTATCCTCACCTGAGGACATTTTAGGACATTTTGTTCAGATAGAGGGGGAGGGAGAGAGAGAGAGAAACATCCATGTGAAAGGGACACATTGAGTGGTTGCCACCCACTTGACCCAACCAGGGCTGGGGACAAACTGCAACCGAGGTACGTGCCCTTAGCAGGAACAGAACCTGGGTCTCTCCAGACC